TTGTGCTTACCATTTTCTTGCTTTTAAAAGATGATCTTACCTGCTTCCCCCTTGCACAGGCCTCACAAACTTTGTCTTCCTTGAACTTGATGTTAGGTAACCTTATCACCATGTCCTTGGAGACTAATTTGCAGAGTTGATTCAGACTTGCATGACCAAGTCTTTTGTGCCACATGAGGGGATCATTGTCCAGCACACTCAAGCAGGTGAGTTCATTTTCTGAAAGAGTGGACAAATCTACAATGCAAATATTGTTAACTCTTTTTCCCTGCAAAATAATCTTGTCAGTGGTAAGATTAATCACAAAACATTTGGTAGAGCTGAATGCTACTAGGTTACCTCTGTCACACAGTTGTGATACACTAATTAGGCTATATTTCAAGCCATATATCAAGTAGACATTCTCAATGGAATGTGAGTTTGTCTTACCTACCTTTCCAACCCCAATGATCTCACCTTTCTTCCCATTTCCAAAGGAGACATTACCTAGGAACTGGTTCTTACTTCTAGTCATATACTTTGAGTAGCCACTATCCATGTACCATATTTGGCTACTTCCCTTCACTTGGACCTGCAAAACAAAATCAGGGGTTAGTCTTAGGAACCCAAACTAGTTTGGGTCCCTTTCTATAGGCAAAGGGGTGAATTAAATTCCTTTTGGCCCATCCAGGCAGCCTATTTTTCTCTTGAACAAAGGTTTTGTTCTTGTGACTGGCCTTTTCTTTTGCTTTACATTCACTTTTGTAATGACTAGTCTTGCCACAGTGTGTGCAAATTTTGTTTTTAGGAAGTGTGATATATTTGATTTTGGGATCCCACTTAGGTGTTGGGGTCCCATAGCCAAGTCCTCTCTTGTTTCTATTGTGGTGCTCTTGTAGCTAGGATAGTGCATCAGAGGACTTATTCCATTTGCAAGTTCTATCTAGTTCATTCTTCACTTTGCCTAGATCTTCTTTTAGGACTCTCATCTGCTCATCTTTCTTGTACAACTCATTCTTCATTTTTCCCAGATTTTCTTCTAAGGGATGTGTGTGATCAGCTTTCTTCTATCCTGTTCCTAATTTTAGTTTTAAATTTTCAGACCTAAGTTCTAAGACATTGGTGTCAAGTTCAAGAACTCGGTTCTTCAACTCAGCATTTATACTATCACTTTCACTAGCCCTAAATTCTAGATTTTTGCACTTGACTTTTAGGATCACACATTCCCTAGACAACTGTTCCTTCTCATTGTTTATGACCTCAAACTCATCAATGTGAAGTTTAGGAATAATTCAGATAGCCTTTCTTTAGACAAAAATTTAATCTTGTCTTTGACATGAATAGTACTTACCTCTTGTTCATCATCTGATTCTCCAATGGCCATAAGTGTTTGTTCATCTCCAGCTTCATCTTGTGAATCCTCATCTGAGGTTTCTCCCCAAGAAGCAACCATAGCCTTTGTTGATCCATTGTTCCTTTTGGGTTGAACCTGTTCCTTCTTCCTATTTCTTCATTCATCCCTTTCCTTCTTCCATTCAATTTCCCACTGGGGACAATTCTTGATCATGTGGGCAGTCTTACCTCATTTGTAGCAGCCCTCGTTGGTTTGTTTTTTAGGAGCCCTTGGTTTATTGAAGTTTGCACCTCTTGAAGAACCCTTTCCTCTCATTAAGTACTACTTGAAATCCCTTGTGATCATAGCCATTTTATCATCCTCTAAGTCTGCACCTTCAACTATTCTGAGAGCCAGGCTTCTTTCCTTCTTGGGTGCATCTATCTTCATAGTTGCTTTCTCAGTTCATAGGCAGTGAGATTTCCAATCAGCTCATCCAACTTGAGAGTGGCAATGTTCTTTGATTCTTGAATAGCCGTGATTTTACTTTCCCAAGTTACTGGCAAGACCCTTGTCAAGATTTTCTCAACCTTGTCTTCTTTAAGGATAATTCTTCCAAGAGACTTAAGTTCATTTGTTAGTGTTGTGAACCTTGTGTACATATCTTGGATGGTTTCTCCTTCCTTCATGGTGAAATTCTCATATTGAGAATATAATAGTGTTCTTCTTGATCTCTTTACTTAAGGAGTTCCTTCATGGGCCACTTGTAGAGTGTCCCATATCTCCTTAGCAGTAGTACAACTTTGAATCCTGCTGTACTCGTTTGGACCTAGTTCACACACAAGCCATTTCTTGGCCTTGGCATTCTTTTCCCATTTCTTCAAATCTTCAGTAGTACAGTCAGCTCTTGTATTTAGCACGTCCATTCCTTCACCACTTTTCTTTGTAGTAGCCAGGGAACCATCAATAACTATATCCCAGAGTTCATAGTCTTCTCCTATGATGTGATCTCTTATCCTATTCTTCCACTAGGAATAGTACTGGCCATTAAAGAGTGGAGGTCTAGCAGTGGATTGCCCTTCCCAGTTTCCCGGTGGTGCACTCATCTGGATCTGTTCCTAAGGTGTTAGCCTCTTCAAGGATAACCCGCTCTGATACCAATTGATGTTTTAGACTTCAATACCACACAAGGGGGGGGGCGATTAGTATGGTACCCAATTTTCACTTAACTTGATTATAGAAGGACCTGGTTCTTCTATGTGTTCCAACTACTACTGTTGCGGAATAATAAGAACAGAAAATAAAGAACACAAAGATTTTTACATGAAAAACACCTGGCACAAAAGGTGAAAAAACCACGACATACCTTCCAGTAGGATTTTCTCAAAATCTCCACTAAAATCACTGAGCCAAAAACTACATTTACAAAAACTCTTTTGTAAACCTAGGATTGACTCTAATCCCGTTGTGGCACACAACCTCAACTGTTGTGACTAATTCAAGTTAACTCTAACTTGAAAACTCTAAGTACCTAATATAATTGCTTCTATTAAAGTTGAAAGGTACAATGTAAAATCACCTACTACAATTGAACTAGAGTAAAAGATAGACACTTGGAACTGGTTCAAGTAGCTTCAGGATTGCACGCTTGAATCACACATAAATTGCTTGCAAAATTGCTTTGCTATTTTGCTCTTAATTCACGTTTAACTTCTGCTTATGTGCATTACCTATAAAAGAGAACAACATTGATATTTAAGGGGTTAGTAATTAGAGATTGACTAGGATACAGAGGCTACTCTTCCATGGTGGAAGAGTTCTAATTGATCTCATACTCTAATTTTATCCTTTTCCTAAACTGTGTTTTCTTTGTGTAAGGAATCTTTCTCCTTATCCAATATGCAACCTTTTCGATCATGATCAGGAGATATTACTTCTGATAAATTAGATTTATCTCATTCACGTGCATCTCACATGTTTGGGTTTATCATGACTGTGCTTCACAGGATGGACCTGGTCCATGTCTGAGTTCTTTTGTCAGTCTTCAAAACTTCACATTTACTTGGGCCAACAGTTCTTATTACCTTGCTCACTAAGACATATAGCATGTATATGAGTTAGTAACATTAGGGAGTGAGTTAGTGGTTCATTAAGTGAGAATAATTCAGGAAAGATTCGGTTTAAATTGCAGCAGAAAAAAAAAGGTTATATTTAATTTAGAGACAAATTAGTAATGCGAAGATTATTTCTTATAGAATGTTTTGTTTGATATATTAAAAACTAATATATAGCTTAAAATATATTTTACTATCTAAACAAAATAAAGTTTGTTAATTATTTTGAGGGTTAGTTTTGTCATTTAGTGCTTTAATCTATGTATTGTTAATACCTGCATAAAATAATACATACATTTCCACATAAATTACAACAACAATAACAACAACAACCCAATAATAATGCCACTAGTGGGGTCTGGGGAGGGTAGAGTGTACGCAGACCTTACCCCTACCCATGAGGGTAGAGAGGCTGTTTCTGGAAGACCCTCGACTCAAAAATAAAAGATCTGTAACAACAACAGAAAACATGCAAATAAGATCAGCACCGTAAGTGACAACAAATAAGTGGGAAGGACAATAATTATGGCAATAATAAAAATTGTAAATAAAATATAAAATAACAGTAAAAATTAATAAACAAAAAATAGAAAGTGTGATGGAACAATAACCACTAGCAGTCCTATATAAAATGCTATCAAACTAGCTAGAACAACGAAGAAAAACGCTCAACTAAACCCTAACCTACAACCCCAATGTTCGACCTCCATACCTCCCTATCCAGGGCCATGTCCTCAGAAATCTGAAGTTGCGCCATGTCTTGTCTTATCACCTTACCCCAATATTTCTTAGGCCACCCTCTACCTCTCCTTGTACCTGTCAAAGCCAACCGTTTGCACCTCCTTACCGAGGCATCTAGACTCCTCCTCCGCACGTGCCCGAACCATCTAAGGCTCGCTTCCCGCATCTTGTCATCCATGGGAGCCACACCTACCTTCTCCCGAATATCTTCATTCTAAATCTTATCAAGCCTAGTGTGCCCGCACATCCATCTCAACATCCTCATTTCAGATACTTTCATCTTCTGGATATGAGAATTCTTTACTGGACAACACTCAGCCCCATACAGAATGGCAGGTCTAATCACCGCTCTATAGAACTTACCTTTAAGTTTCATTGGCACCTTCTTGTCACACAGGACTCTAGACGATAACCTCTATTTCATCCACCATACCCCTATACAGTGCATGACATCCCCGTCGATCTCCCCATCTCCTTGGATAATAGACCCTAGGTACTTGAAACTCACTCTCTTAAGGATGACTTGCGAGTTAAGCCTCACCTCCCCGTCCGCTTCCACCGACACATTGTTGAACTTGCACTCCAAATTTCTGTCCTAGTCCTACTCAACTTGAAGCCTTTAGACTCCAGGACCTGCCTCCATACCACCAGTCTTTCATTAAAGCCGCCTCTTGTCTCATCAATAGAACTATATCATCAGCAAACAACATACACCATGACACCTCCACTTGAATATGGTATGTCAATGCGTCCATTACTAGGGCAAATAAGAGCGGGTTGAGCGCAGATTCTTGGTATAACCCCATAACTACTGGAAAGGGCTTTGAATCACCTCACATAGTCCTAACCCGAGTCTTAGCTTCATCATATAAATCCTTTATCGCTCTATTATAAGCTACCATCACACCTTTCACCTCCAGGCATCTCCAAAGAATGTCCCTAGGGATCTTGTCACATGCCTTCTCTAGATCAATGAACACCATGTGTAGATCCCTCTTCCTATCTCTATACTGCTCCACCAACCTCCTAATAAGATGGATAGCTTCTGTAGTAGAGCGACCAGGCATGAACCCGAACTGATTTTCTGATATAGAAACCACCCGTCTTACCCTCCCTTCCACCACCCTCTCCCAAACTTTCATGGTATGACTTAGCAATTTTATACACCTATAATTGTTACAATTCTGGATATCCTCTTTGTTTTTGTATAATGGAGTCATCGTACTCCACTTCCACTCATCTAGCATCCTCTTCGTCTTGAAAATAACATTAAACAACTCAGTCAGCTACTCCAAGCCTGCTTTACACACATACCTCAAAAATTCAACTGGAATCTCATCTGGTCCGATCGCTTTGCCCCGAATCATCTTACGCATTGCTCCCACGACCTCCTCCACCTTAATACGCCTACAGTACCTAAAGTCTTGATGACTTTCGGAGTTCCCCAACTCCCCTAACACGATGTTTCTGTCCCCCTCTTCATTCAGAAGTCTATGAAAGTACGACTGCCAGCTCTGCTTAATCTGGACCTCTCCCATCAATACCCGACCTTCCTCGTCTTTGATGTACCTCACTTGGTCAAGATCACGAGCCTTCCTTTCTCTCGCTTTAGTAAGCGAAAATAACTTCTTGTCCCCACTTTCACTCCGCAGTTCCTCATATAGCAGCCCAAACGCGATAGTCTTAGCCTCCATGACTGCTAACTTCGCTTCCCTCCTAACGTCCTTATACCTTTCTCTGTTCGCACTCCTCTTATCCTCGTCTGTGTTCTCCACTAACTTAAGGTAAGTCGCTTTCTTTGCTTCCACTTTACTTTGGACCACATAATTCCACCACCAGTCGCCTCGGTGCCCACCTGAGTACCCCTTCGAGACCCCTAATACCTCTCTCGCTGCCTCTCTTATACAGTCTGTCGTCGTTGTCCACATAATACTATCATCCCCATCACTCCTGCGCATTTTCCTTGGTTAAGACTCCCCACTTGATCCTTGGTTGCCCCTGTACAAACCTCTTCTTCCTCTTTATCAAGATACCGACGTCCATCACCAGGAGTCTGGTATTATTTATTAGGAAAACAAAAGTATAGCTACCAAATATTGTATAAATTAATGTTAGTTTCTATTCGGAGATTATATAAATATCCATAAACTCCAACCAAATAACACTTTTAATTAATTTATTTTCATCAACCTACACCTTGATAGAGAATTATCTGGTACGTGTAATACTGAGGCCTTAAAGGTAATAGGTGCCTAGTGAATGAGTTAAAAGGTAGACAAATTGACTCGAACACCGTTATCATAAAACAAAAATAGCATTTAATCTTGAACAGCTTGAAAGCGCAGCCAAAAAATTCACGTGAATAGTTGCACCATTGATTGCCAAAATAGTGGAATTCCTTGCTTATATGCATTGAGGGCTCATTAAAGATGTGTCAAAGGTAAGACTCCCTGATGGGAAAGAGATGTGAAATAGAAGTGACCCAAGACCTAAAGACCCTCGTGTCCTTAATTTGGGTGTGGAACATGCGACTTGGCCATGTGATCTGTATACGGATAAAACCAGGGTAGCGTGTACCCCAATTTTTTGATGGAATAAATGAAGCAAAAGCATGACTGTATGTGGTCGGAATCGAAGTCGGGATGTCTCGTACTAAGACCTGAACGGAGTGTGCGCCACCGGTCTTGATAAGGAAATGCTTCCTCGATCCCGGAATGAGCTCGAGACCTCGGAAAGCACTACAATTTGTTGGACACGACTAACAGAAGGCTGTGATATCCTCAACCGACCGAATATCACGGTGCGTATCTCTCCCGATGTCGGTAGCGTATTAGTAATTTATATACAAGGAGGATTTTTACCTTTTTTAAAATTGTACTAGGGGTAAAACTCTCCTACTATATAAAGAGAAAATTTATTATTGAATAGTGGCACTATAACACGTATATCAAGGCAATACAAACTTGTTTCTCTAGTTTCTAGTTATTGAAAAATTCTTATTTTAATTATAGTTCTTCATACGCATTTGGCTCTGAATCGAGGGTCCGGTCGAAGGCAGAACTATTGTTAAGCTTACGTCCGAGCTCGGACTCAACATCATATCACAACTGGTTTGGTTATCCACAGTACTTTTAATTTATTTATCTAACATTCTTGATTATTTGTGCTGAATCAATTCATATATCTTTAAAATCGCGTACAAATTTAATTGTTATCCATTTTAATGGTAAACAAGATCATAATCATAAAACTTATCATTGCTTTATATATGTTCCTCCAAGATCTAGCTCTATGGCACGTTGTTTCCCAAAGTAACAAAATACGAAGAATGAAAAAAAGCTTTACTCGATCAAAATGAGATAAAATTCTTCTTTTTCTTTTTATTGGTCAAACTGCGTAAAGGAGTATTAAACTATTCGCCTAGCGATAAGACTGTTTATCTGTAAAATGGTACAATTGAATTTATAGCGTGGTTTATAGACAAGTGAATCTATTTGACCAAAAAATAATAAGTAAATGAGAGCAAAAATAATATTATCAAATGAAATTGAAAGAGATAACAAGCCTGACTAAAAACATAGCATTTTTTATGACAAGAGTAAATGCAATGTTCAAGTATTAAAATTCAGCGCAAATAGAATGGATTATAACTTTTTGTATGCAGAGTTTCTTGTTGCTACAATGGTTGTTAATCCTTCTATTTATAGCCCTATTTAGGGAGACAAGATCCTCAAATCAAGCTACTTTTGAATGAGAATAAAATTGTCATTGATGGTGCATAACAGTTGGCTCTAAATATAGATATTCTCTATAATAACTGTCCAAAAAAAGCCACCCAATGGCAATGCTGCAAATCCTTGTTACCGGCTGCTTTGTCTTCGGGACTAGTTCAGTACAGATCGCTCGATTGCACCTGGCGACAGCTCTTTGCTGACTCATATCCCACCTGTCTTTAGTGACACATGTCACTCCATCATTCGCCCAGCTGTCATTGACTAGTTTTACCCCATACAAATAGTCCCCCCACTTTCCGGTGACTTAACTTAGTGTTACTGAGAAGTAGATAAGAGTTTCTATCACGATTTGAAATTTCCCACCCTTGGGACCGTGATAGTGCCTAACATTTTACTTGCTAGGTGAACCAACGTTAGAATAGTTTTAAGCCATTTTAAACAAATCAAATTAACTGATGCTAATTAAGCTGAAATAACTGAAATAAAATTGAAATAAAGTGCGAAATGTCATAACAACCGAAATATCTAAATACAACCACAAATCTGGTGTCATTAGTGCACGAACTACTAGAATAATACAGTTAATAGTCTGAATGAAAATAAAGCTGCCTGAAAAGAATGCACAACTAGAATAAGGTAGAAGGGGACTTCAGGGCAATCTACCGGTCGCTGCTGGAACCAACTCCAAAATCAACACAAGAAGTACAGAGTGTAGTGTGAGTACAACTGGCCCCATGTACTCTATACGTATCAAGCCTAACCTCGACAAGGTACTGGCAAGGCTAAGGCGGGTCACATACAATAACTTGTACGCAGTATAATAATAATGATAGGAAAGGAAAATATGGAAAAATAAGGCAGTTATCTCATGGAAATAACTCAATCATTGAAGCCAGTAAAACCAGAAATACGAATCCTCAAAACCTCGTACGAAAACACTAAAAGCTAACACAATGTAATAAGGAATATAAAACACACAAACCATTGCGGTGCGTAAGCCGATCCCACCATACAAACACGATCCACCCTTATTCCACCATGTAAATATCAATAATAACAAGTAAAAGATGTTGTGGCGTGCAACCAGATCTCACCATACAATCAGAATCAATATCATAATCCTCCCTTATTTCACCATATCAATCTTCCCTTATTTCACCTATTGCAACGCACAACCCGATCCCACCGTATCAATATCAATCCTCCCTTATTCCATCTATTGCGGCATAAATAAAATCAATTTAACAACTCGAATCACAAATATCTATACGATTAACGAATATGAAAGTAAAACCATAAAAGAATCTCGTACCAAATCAAGAAAGGCTACAATTAATACTGAGCAACAAGACAAGTCAAATATATCTTAGTTAAAGGGTACAAGTAAGACAATTAATGCAAGTAATAATTAATCATGGAAGAATGGAAGAGATAACCATTTTTAATATGAGAATAATAAATGACAAGTAGTAAGTTAAGGCATAGGGAGAGATTAAAGCATGTAACAATCAAGACATGAAATAAGATAATTAATGAAATACGGGTAGACATGGAAACAAGTAATTGACGGCCTATATACACTCGTCACCTCGCATATACGCCGCTACACATGAAATTCACATAGCGCATAGCTCAAGGGTTCCTAATTCCCTGGAATCAAGGTTAGACCCGACACTTACCTCGCTCCACAAGCAATTCAAAGCTCTACCGGGGCCTTTCCTCTAAAATCCATCTCCAAGCCAATCGAATCTAACCTAAATCGGCTCAACAACATCAAAAAATGCTAGGGAAATCAATTACAATACATAAAGTTAAGATTTTTACCATTATCCCGAAAAGTCAACAAAGGTCAACCCCGGGCCCATTTGGTCAAAATAAAAAATTCGAACCAAAACCCGATTACCCATTCACCCCCGAGTCCGGTTATATAATTAGTTTAAAAATCCAAACTCAACTTGAGGTCTAAATCCAAAATTTATAAAAATCCCTAATTCTACCCAAATCCCTAATTTCTAACATGAAAATCATAGATTTAATGTTGAAAATTTACGAAATGTAATGGGTAATTGAAAAGAAATAGATTAAAGTTTCTTTTCAAAGAATTTAGGAAGAATGTCTCTTGAGAAAATCGCCTCTAGGGTGTTTAGGGTTGAGAGTTTGAAAAAAATGAACTAAATCTTATTTTTCCCTTCTTTTGTCCAAGTGTAGATGTCGCAATTGCGACCTCAGATTCGCAATCACGAATCCTACAAATGCGAAAAAGTCTTGTAAATGCAAAGATTCCACATCTCTGCTGCCATCGCAAATGTGATGGTTTTATTCACAAATGCGAACTTGGACTTATGCAATTGCGATCATTCTGATCGCAAATGTGAACAAATCCCCCTAGCACTACTTCTCAAATGCGAACTATTTGTTCGCAAATGCGACACAAAATATCGCAATTGCGATAACTGATACCTGAGAAAAAAAACCAACAATCATTTAACTCTATTGCCACTCCACCATGCTTCTGAAACTCATCCGAGCACTCGGGGTTCCAAACCAAACATGCATCCAAGTGTAATAATATCATACAAACTCACTCGTACGATCAAAATAGCAAAATAACACCTTGAACTACGAATCAGATACCACAACGAATGAATTTTTTAAAGAAACTTAAGAACTTCCAATTTCAACAACCAGGCGTTTGAATCACGTCAAATCAATTCTGTTTTGCACCAAAATTTGCAGACAGGTCATGAATATTTAACTGAACCTATACCAAGTTCCAGAACCAAAATCCGAAGTCGGTAGCAAAAAAGTCAAACTAAGGTCAAACTTAGAAATTCTTTAAACCTTTAAACTTCTAATTTTCAACAAATGGCAATAATTCAAGCTAGGGACTTCTGAATTCGATTCCGGGCATACGCCCAAGTTCCAAATCACGATACAGACCCACCGGGACCATCAAAACACTGATCCAGGTCTGTTTGCTTAAAACGTTGACCGAAGTCAACTCAAATGAGTTTTAAGGTACGATTTCAAATTTTCACATAAAAACCTTCCGAAAAAGGGCACGAACTGTGCATGCAAATCAAGGAAGGTTAAATAGAGCTATTCGAGGTTTTGAAACACAAAAATGAAGGGTAAAACAATAAATGACCTATCGGGTCATCACATTCTCTACCTCTAAAATAACAGTTCCTCCTTGAACGAACATAGAAAAGTACCTGGACTAG